GGCGGCAGCGGCCCCTCCTCACCCGAACATCAGGGCCCTCCAGACCCAGGCGCCCCAACAGTATCCTTTTCACCTTCCTGCCGGGCCCTTCGGCTCTCCCCGCCGCTGACCTGGGGGGCGGTAGCCTCCGGGGTACCCTCCTGCCCGCCGCCAAGCACAGCTAGGAACGGAGCTGCCCCTCCAGCCCCGCCTGGCTTGGCCGGAGCTTTTGGGGTGCCCGACAGCAGTACTGCGGGGTCCCCGCGACCCGCTGCCATACTGTGTAAACTCGCCACGCTCGGCCAGGGATCTGCGGTCCTGGGGTTCCCCTGCTCGCCGCCGCCTCCCCTAGACCCCCGCCCCCCTTTATTAGGCAGAATTTGCTGGTGCCGGGGCTCAACCCTGCCGGGAAGGCTTTCCTCTGCTTGTGGTGAAGACTACACCCTCATCTCGTCCTCCCCCCCCCCCTTTTCCGCTCCCCTTGCCGCGGGGCCCGGGGGTGGGGTGGGGGGCGGTTCCCCCGTCTTCCTAATAACATCATAAACTTTGTCGGTAACATTTCCGTTTGGAAAGGACCCGTTCGTCTCGGAGGTAAGTTGGCTGTGAAGTCTCCGGTGCACGTTGGCAGCAAGCACTCCCCCTGGCTAAGGTTTCCGAAGCGATTTGGGGGAGTTGTGATGTGGTTTGTGGTGGAACGCGATCCGTGGAGGAAATGTTACACCGGGCGCTTCCCTGGCTTTGACCTTTTTAAAGGAAGAGGAAGTGACCTGACGTTACCCGCACTCACTTCGGGAAGGCTGGTGGCATCCTGAACGCTTTTAAAGGGCTTCACCGTGCCCTTCCTAGGCCTGATGGCTAGAGGGTGCCTGGCCTCCCGCAGGGAAGTCCAGTACCGAACGGGCCTTAATTTCCTGTGACTTGTCGAATGTCTGGACCGCTATGAGCAAAAAGATTTGGCGACAAGGTGTTTGGGTCCCAAACTAGCCGGTTGAGTTCCTGAAGTCCACGGGGATTTAGGAAGGTGTTGCCTGCCTGACAGTAACATTTCATCATGCAGTCCCCCCACAGCCCCTGTGTTCGTGCCCATCAATAAATAATCCTTGGAAGTTAGATGTGTTGTGTGTTTGTATCTGTGCCACCGTGTGCTTGACTTTTAGAGGGAGGAGGGTGTTGGAGCAAATAAGCTCAGTGCTGCGAAGGGCCACAGATATTTCAGTGTGTCGTTTGATTCTTGTCAGTATCATTTCAGGTCACTGTTTTGGTTTCTGTCAAGTGTTATTTTCTCTGTTCTTTAAATACTGTTAGACCACATTTTGTAGTCCATGCGGTGTGGCGCAGAGTAAAGATAAATTCCATTCCAGGGTGATGTGTGCACTGATTACATGTTTCTCCCCTGCATGATTCTGCTCAATTCAGAAGTGTCCACCCGGGGCGAATGGTTTTCCCTACAGACAGTCTTTGATGCTTCCGTGTGGCTCATGGAAAACCTCTTTGGTTTTATTAGTGTCCTTAGTTGCTTGACTGGGGGTGGGGGTGAGTGGGTGAATGGTTGGGGGGCTGCTCTGCCTACTTTTGGGGAAAGAGTAGATTGCGAAATCTCAACATACCTTCACTCAATGAGTTTCAGTTCTTCTCTAATTTTAGTTTTATTTTTGTTTTGCCTAGGTTAGGGCCCTTATGTTTCGGTACTGTGCCACCAAGTAAATTATTCATTACTTGTATCTTTGAGCTATTTTGGCAAGTAAGCAGAAATGAAAAGCCTGTAGTATGGGTTCCTGATGTACAAAGCAGTAAGTCCACGGTGCTGAGTGTGATATGCTTGGTGAATTGGTTGTCGTTTCTTGGACACACAACTGATTGTTAAGTGCTTAAAACGTGCCTTTTTGCAGTGCATTTCACAAAGGTAGGACTTCCCAAAGCTGTGCCTTGGTTGCAGCATACAGAATAGTTAAGGTTACAATTGAATCTTCTTTTGAATAAAGGGAGTGGCTATTATAGGGCATAAATTGAAGAGTTGGACTGCTAACCCAAGGTCAACGGGTTCAAACCCACCAGCTGATCTGCGGCAGAAAGATGAAGCTGTCTGCTCTCATAAAGATTTACAGTCTTGGAAACCCAAATGAACAATTCTGTTCTGTGCTATAGGGTTATTATGAGTTGGAATTAGCTTTATGGTAGTGTGTTTTCCCTCCCTTAACTGAAATAATGTTAAAAACCTATTTGAGGTAATGCCTAGTTCAATGTGGCTTTAAGTGTTCACTTTGCTTCTTGCCATGGAAGCTAAAATTAATTTTCTTCTTGATGTGTATCATAAATGTTATCTTGGTTTGTATACTGAAAGGTTATAATTGCTAATATTTAAAAGCTCCTATACATATAGTAAATGATGTATTTCAGGTATTATAGATCATACCAATGGTGAAATATAATCTGCTAATGGGGAATTAAATAACACATACATATTTTTTTAGTTGGTTAAATTTTTTATTGAAATAGAGCAATTCTGTGGAGTTATCAAGTTCAATTTGGTTCCCCTTTTCGGTACCAATACTTCGTATAATTTTAAAGCAAATAAGTGAAATGAAGGCACCTCTTACAATTGGCAGGACCCACTATGCAAGGTTCTTCCTTTTCTAGCTTTCCAGCATGTGGGAATTTGTACTTGACCATGTGGTAGGCAAATGGTCATCAAGTTGTAAATTGCTACCATTGAAGCAAGGCTATTGTGAACATCTGGAGTTGCTCCCTCCAGGGTTGGAGTAGATCTTGTTCCTCAGGTTACACGTAGGGTTGTGTTTGAGTTGGATTCATAAATTCAGGCAACATTTTAAGTTTGTAAAAACACTAGGAATTTTGCATGACAACATGCCCTTCATTTGTTCCTACAGTGTTCAAGGGACAAAACAAATGAAGGGAAAGGTTAAGCATAATGGATATGAATCTGAATTGGGACCTGTTAAGTAGGTATCATTATTGCATGGCAGGGTCCTTAAGTAGAGACCCTTCCTTTATTGTAAAGAGGCAAGGGCTGGGGGCTGGTGGTGTATGGGAAAGGAAGAGAAATCCGGAAGTGGGAGGTGCTAAAGAGCAAGAGAGAAATAAGCATAGGTTTCAGAATATAACACAAAGCTCATAGCTTATCAAATCGGCACTTCACAGTACTTGGCCTTGTGATATGCTTACCCCAAGTTCCAGGTATAAGCTTTCAAGAGGCTCTATTGAGAACCTTGACCTTTTCATCATAGCAAACAACTTTGACATTTTGAAGGGAGCTGTATAGATTCTCCCCCACAGAAAACAACCCAGACACAGATCTTGCCTACATTTTTATTTTTAGTGGGTTCTTGGACTCCCATGAAGCATTCCAGTCCTTCGGGTAGCAATTGCTAGCCCTTCAGATCATGCAATTAAAATGCTTTTGGATTCAGGTGTCAAAATAGTTAATAGTTTTGTGGTCTGTTTATGAATACATTGTGTCCTCACTATATGGAAAGAGTTCAGGGTGTAATTTCTCTCGGGGCTGCTGACACTTCTGGGGAATCTAGTTACTGGTTTGGGACAACCAGTTTGGTAAAGACAATCAGGACAGTGAATTCTTTGCAGGAACTAAATTAGGTACAGGCCTGTGGCAACCAGTCCTTCCCTGTAGTTTGTGCTAGATATGTGACAAATATATAGCTGAAAACCAATATTCCTTTGCTTTTAATTTTTTATATTGTATTCCCTTCATTTTTTGTTTTCTGCATTGATTTTCTGGTGTCCCTTCCTGGCTGAAGCTGAAATTGTCTCATTTTTTTCTTTAGTCCCTTGCTACCCAAATGAAACTTACATGATACTGATGGTCATCTCCTTTTATTTAATGCACACTATCCCAGGAACCCTCCATGCATGCTTTCCTAAATTCTCATTAAGAACCCCAATGAAATAAGTATTGTCCCCCTTGTACAGAGGAGGACACTGAAGTTCAGAGAAGTAATGCTTTTAAAGCTATCTACGTAGTAAGCTGTGATTCAGACAGTGGTTATGACGGGCTCCAAGCAAAACCCATGAAGATCTTTGCTCCTGTGCCAACCTGGCTCTCACCCTGTCTGGAGAGTGACTCTGGAGGGGGAAGGACACATTTCTGTGTGGCAGGCGGGCAGGTCTGTGGACAGTAAAGAAACAGTGGAGTGACCTAGAATACAGGCACGCTCTACCTTGGAAAATTAGTTCATGGCCACTTACTACTAGACAAATAGGTTATCTTCATTGAGGCTTAAAGCAGAGAAATAAATGGATGTGCTCACTGACTAATGGATGTGTTAAAAGAGATTCATAATTGTACTCATTTCAAAGGAAGATGCTCAGCAGAACATGGAAATTTTTAAATAGTATCACCAAACCAGAAACCAAATCCACTGTCATTGGATTGATTCTGATTCATAGTGGCCTCTGTAGGGCTTCTGAGACTGTAAATCTTTACGGGAGCAGATAGCTGTAACTTTCTCCTGATAAGCAACTGGTGGGTTTGAACTCCTGAACTCATGGTTAGCAGTCTAATGCCTAGCCCACAGTGCCAGCAGGGTTCCTTATTAATATCGGAGGCAAGTGAAGCTTTGCAGAAGATATTTTTAAAATGGTTGCATCCATACATTGCTAAAGAAACTGCCAGAAATTCAAGTTGGATTCAGAAAGGATGTGAAATGAAGGGTATTGTTGCTGGTGCCAGATACATTGTAGCTGGAATCAGAGAATTCCAGGAAGATGTTTCCTTGTGTTTGATTGACTATGCAAAGGCAGTTGACTGCGTCATGGCAAATTATGGATAATAATGTGATGAATTAGGATTCCAGAAGACTTAATATTGTGCTCAGATGGACAGAGACCAACAGGGGGTTACTCGGTGGTTTAAAATCAGAAAAGGGGGGTGTCAGGGTTGTGTTCTTTCCCCATACTTGTTTAATCCACATGCTGTGCAAATAATAGAGAGAAGGTGGACTGTATGAAGAAAAAGGAAGGTAGCTTCAAGATTAGAGGAAGACTAACAACCTGGGCTGCGGACAAGACAACCCGGAGGTGGAGAGAACCTAAAGACTACAGCC